ATCACTGATCCATGACTCAGCTTTGAAATTCGCCGCGTTCAAATCAAATTGTCCGGCTTCAAGGAGCGGAGGTGCCACAGCCCCTGCCCCGGGCCACTCTGTGTCACCGGCCAGCTTTGAGAGGTTAACGCGCATTTTTCTCAGTTGTCAAGGATGTGTGACGGGGGCAAAGGAGTACAGAGGAGAGCAGGGGTCACCACACAGATATCAGTATTTGAAGGACATAATTGTATTATAAATGAAGCTGGAACTTCATTTAACATTTTAAGTTTTGCTTTTATGGGAGCACATCTGGACCTGAACTGTGTATCCTGAGTCAGTATGTGATAGTAGTTATGTTATCATGAGCTCATTGACATATCTTATATTGGACTCGGGTGTTCACTGATCTATTTAGTGTCAATATGAGTATAGTGGGATTTCAAATGCATTATTTCACTGCTTTGTATTTTTAGAGAACAATTTTATATATTTCATCTGTTTTCAATTTATTCAGATGCTGAGAGTTTGAAGATGTGAAAGGTGCTAAACTAATGTACTTGCCTGTTACCCATGATCATTATTCAATATTGATTATTTTTATCACCACCAAGGTAATCATTTGGTTAGTTTGTTTTAAGCAATGTTACGCAAAACACGACTGATTAAAAAATACTTGGTGGAAGGATGTGGTTTGGGTCAGGTACTGATTACATTTTGATGCAGATCCTAAAAAGGGGCAGATGCAATACATTCCAAGATCTGATGTTTTTCCCATTTTCACCATTTTCCCATGCAGGAAATAATTCATGGATCTTGATGAAAGAAATCAGGCACATTCACCTGAATGTACATTGACGATCATTTTCTCTTAATTTCCATACAATCCAGCAGACAAGATGATAAAAGTAAGAAAACGTCTTTTTTCTTAGGATGTTTTCCTCTCCAGCACAAGGTAAAGACAGTGCAGCTGCATGAGCTCAGGAACACTGTGTGGTCCACTGGCTTTTGATTTGAGAGATATGGAGAGAGGGGCACTGAGGGAAAACAACGTCCTGCAGCTCCTCTCCTCTGAGGTCCTGATAAAGCTTCTCAGTCCTGAGAAAACACGGCAGCTTCCTCCATGAGCACGGCCATGTTTCACGTCCGGACAATTAAACAAGTCACATGCGGCCACGAGCCCCATCTCCTCACACTGAACTCAATTATTACAGACGCCGACTCCTCATCGCCACAAGTTCCCAGACTGTGGCTAATCTTATCTGATCCATTATTAGCAGCATTTTTCATCTTTACGACAGAGCTAACAAGCCTTTGAGATCATTAAATAGCTGGGAATGTTCAAATCTCAAGTTAAGCACGAAAATGAGTGAATGGAAGGGATCACGGAACATAAATCACTCCGCTCCCTGCATAGTTTTAACGTGCGGGGAGAGTCTTAAGCTGCAGGATCCACGAGCAGGTCTCATGAGACAGAGGAAAGAAATTGCACTGTATGATGTGATCTCTCAAGCAAACACTTTTATTTAATTTAAATCTGAAGCACATTCTGACTCTTGGGCAGAAGCAGGAACCAAAGATGATTCATCACAGACAACTTGGAGAACATACGAAAGGATTACTACAGTCGTGTATTAACAAGGAATAATGACCCTTTTCTCGTAGAAAGATCCAGGTGCTGGATTCGTATATATGAGCTGCAGGAAAACAACTTCATGAACCATTTGAAAAGCAAACAGTTACATGTAAAACCAACATGAATGCGCGACTGTAAAAGCAAAAGGACGGTGAGACGCTTTTGGTCGCGGAGGAGAGGGAGAAGTCAATGTGTTTGTTAACAGTGAAGGGGTCAAGGGTTAAGAGCTGGTAATCAGACAGAGTGTGAGTGATGGACGAGGTGGAATCAGAGGGGGAAGAACTCCAAGGAGCCGCAGTGTTCAGCCTGTGTGTGTGTGTGTGTGTGTGTGTGTGTGTGTGT